CAACACTAATAGTAAATATGCAGTTCAATCCCAATAAAAATAAGTTCAGTATAAATAATTTTATCTTTTAAAATCTCTAAGCTACCAAACTCGTAATAATAACGCAAGTATATGTATCGCTCATGTAATGAAAGGCTCTAATGGAGTCCTAAGTATCGATCCCACAGGGATTTAAAAATTCTTATGGTTATAACATCAAACACAATATTCAAACTATAAAAATTAAGTAAGCAAAACAAATCTAAATAAAATTTAATGTGAGCTAAATGAAATACAGTTAAAAGAACTAACTTAATTAAACTAATTGCTAAACTTCAAAAATAAACTTATAAAAACTAAGCAAGGTTTTGAAACGAAGAGTTCAAATTTAAGAAAGCATCCTTCCCATTTATATTGAGTTTATGGAGTGTGAAAAAATTAAAATAATTTAAAATACATATAAAATTATCTTGTGAAAATATGAACAATCCTATTTTTTACTCTCTGAGAGTGCATAAAGAACATTGACTAATTCAAAGTTAGGTCCCAAAATCCCTGGTTAGGTTGAGAGGATACTGACTGCCACTCCAGAGCTCTCATTTCTCCCTCGCCTGAGGGCTAACAATCGCGCTTTAGTTTTTAAGCAACTTGACCAAATTGGGGATTTTAATCTGTCACCTTAAAATCTCCAATTCTGCGCCCATCAAAGTATATTTCCCTATTTATTTGCACGCAACCCTATGAATTACATTATCACCCATGAAATTGAATGTGACTCTTACCTTGTTTGTAGAATGCATAGCCCTTTCAGATCGTATGTTTCTCAATAAATTTTAACCTTTCAATTGGCTAAATCAAAAAGTAAATGAAGATCAAAGTTTGAATCATCACAATTTATTAACATTTAAAACCTTACAAAACAAAACTAATTCTTCACAAAACTATATCTCATTGTAGGGAGAAGGATAAAGAAGCTACTCAAAATTCATGAAAAAGATACGTCAAAACACGTATTTCATAAAGAAAAATAAGTTTACAAAATAAAAAAAGAAAAAAGCACAACTTATCTTGCACTCCTTCCCAAAAAAATCCTTAGAAGTTCCCTTTAAGCACTTTCTCTCTTTACAATCACACTCAATTCTCTCTTAGAAGTGTAACGAAGAAGAAATCTCTCACCTTCCCTCTCCTCTTATAACCTTAGAAGAAAATCCTCTCTTCTCCAAGACTTCTCTCTCACGCCAAAGCTTGCCTCTCAATCTCATGCCCATCTTTATTCTCTAGACTCCTCTCCTTTTTAATTAGAGCCAACTTTCTTTAAAAATAAATTCAAAATTCCCTCCAATTTTCCCCCCAAAAGTCACATCTTTTAACACCAAGTGAGAAGTCCCTTCATCCAAGAGACATATCTCTTCACTAAAGAGCCTTTCCAAAGTCTATAGATGCATTGAACTACTCTATGAGACGTTTAAATTGTTTGGAGCCTTCAAAAACCACTCAAAATAGTCACAAACCGCCTTACTCTGTCTTAATTCATCTCTGGCACCTCTGGCCCCAGCCTAATGAAGTCTGCATTATTCTCTAGATTCTGGCGCCTCTGACCCCAATTCTGACGCTTCTGGCGTTGTTTCTATGTAAAATGGTGCATCTGGCGCCAGGATCAAGAAAATCTCCATTTTGGCTCCAAATTTCCTCTTTTTTTCTATTTTTCGCTTCAAATGTCTAAAATTGATATACCTACAAAAAACATGAAAAAAACCTTCTTTAAAGTGCAATATCATTAAAATAAGCATAAAATGTATACATAAAATAATACATTATTTTTGTGTATCAAAATTCCCCAAACTTAAATATTACTTGTCCTGAAGTGACCATTTTACTATATAAAAATATGACTTATGACAGATTAATTTATAAACTTCTATAATTTATTTTAATAAAAATAATAATATAACTTAAAAGACTTTTAACAACTTAGTTTAAAACTACAGGCATAAGAACACATAGTAATCAAGTTTAAGAGTTCTGAACCTACATTCAGTACAAGAGGAATTGTAATTTGTCATGTCAAAAAGATGTAAAAAATTGTTTAACTATATTAATGCAAGCAGCTCCAATGATGTTCGAAGTTTCTTTGAAGAATTGTGCATTAAAGTCATCCAGATCAAGAGGGTTGAAAGTACCAATCTGAAATAAAACTTTTCAAATATCTTCATCAGAAAATTTAACAAAAAACAAGGAGCAATCCAACTGTGAGTGTTTTTCGCCAATAGGTTTAAGTGGTGAAATGGTTGAAGAAGTGGAAGATAAATTCATCAAATTATAAAAATAGGAAGTCTCATTGGATATACTCTCTTGAGAGATAAAGCAACCATTGTCAGAATAGAGCTCTCTTATGAAGTTTCCATTACTTCTATATTTGATTTTTTGATATAGAAATCTTACATCATCTCCTCCTCTTGTCAACCAAAAAGCACTCAGCTCTTTTTTTAATCCAACTGTGAAGCATAGAAGTAACTCCACTAAGCTTATCATGCATCTCCATTTTATGGGAGAAAAGATCCTTATTCAAATGATCACCTTCAAGTTGTTGAAGAATATGAATTTAAGCATTCTTGAGGGTTTTAATGGAATCTTCAATGAAGTTAGAAGAGTTCCACTTCACTTTAAAGAGAGATTTTATAACATTCCTCATTTTATTAAACAAAGCAAAGAGAGGATCATCATCCACAAGATAGTCCCAAGCAACATAGATAATGTTATGGAAATTGAACAAAATTTCCAATGGTTTTTGTGCATAAACCTGCATCTCAGATGATAATTAGAATCAAAAGAAATAAGAAGGGGAGAATGATCCGGAGTGGAGGCTTGCATGATTTTAAAAGAATAAAGAGGGTGCTAATACAATTATCATTTTCCAAGGCTCTGTCCAATAAGCATATGATAAAATTGTCCATTTGTGGTTAAACCAACTAAAAAAAAGACCAATATTAGGTAATTCAGTGAGGCCTGAATCAAAGATGCATGAATTGAAGTCCACCATTTTACATGGGAGGAGAGGAGTGCCTCTAATTTTATCCTCTAATCTTGGAATGCTATTAAAGTCGCCAACAATTAACAACAGAGAGGAAATTGAAGTAGCCAGAGAAGTAATGGAATTTCACAATCCTTTTTGTCGAGTTGCCCCATTTTCAACATAAATAAAAGTGATCATTAAAGAGATAGAGTTGGAGTATTTAATCATTCCATGAATGTATTGAGGCTTGGAATCCATTACATTGAAAGAGATATTAGTCGAATTCTATTTAATCCATGTATGTCCATCATTGGAGGTATGAAAATTATACACACTTTTTTCATTGTGAAAGAAATTAAATTGTTTATAAGAAAGAGGGTGCTATGGAGACAAGGGGTGAAGTTTAATCTCTAAGAGACAAATAAGGTCGGGTTTGTTGTCTTTGATAAAATCTCTACAATTAGTGATCTACGTGTCACTATTAATCTCTCTAACATTCCATGCCGTAATGTGAGGATATAACATAATGAATTGATGAGAAGGACGAGCACGACCATGAGGCCTTCCTTTTTTGTTCGTGGAAATAGAGGGCATAGATTGCAGGCTTGTTTGGTTTTGAAGGTTGACAAGTGAGAAAAGTTCTTAAGAGGGGTTGCGACCCGAGATTAAAAAGAAGGAAGTATTAGGAAGGGGATCATCAGGCATAGAAGTAGGAAAATAAGAGGGAGGAATAGAAGTAGAAGGAGAGGTAATTAAGATGGTTCTTTTCTATTAACTAGTCAAGGAGAATGAAGGGCGAACTAGAGAGGAAGGTAGCAATTACGGAGTAGTGGGAATATTCCGATCAGGAGTAGGGGCCATTCCAAGCTGATGAGGGATAGAATATTGCTTACTGGAATTACGAGGAGGAAGAGAAGCATCTTGTTTTCGAGTCTTGCTATGCCCTTGGTTAAGAGAAATAATGGGAGGAGGTTTGTAGTGGGGGGATTTTGGGCAAGAGTTGAGATCATGAGCAAATGTATTACAAACTTTCTAGGGGATCGACCTCCATTCGTAAATGATAGGTTGAATAACATTATTCCCTTTCACATTAATGATGATAGAGTTCGGTAAGACATACTCAATATTAATCTGTATACTTACCCTAACAAATGGGAGGCGTGTTCCTTTGGCAGTAAGAGGATCCACTGATAAGGGAACACCAATAAAACTTGCATTCATAGAAATCCCGCATTCCGATCAACAACATAGAGGTAAGTTAGGAAGTTTCACCCAAATTGGAACCTCCCTAAATCCTCCTTAATATACTGAAAGTTGAGGGACCATTTTTCAAAAATAAATGGTTTTCCATTGATGAACCAAGACCCCCCTTCCAAAACCATATTGAGATCATCCTGATATGTAAAGTTAAAGAGAAAAAAAAAATTGTTAAAGAGAGAAGATCAACCTATCCACACAATTTGTAGAGCTTACTGATGGGATGTAGTAGGTTACCATTTAAAGGTCATTTACCCAAAGCATATGCGACCAAAGCAAGGCTTCACCGCATAGATCCCTCATCAATTCCATCATTAGAGAAGATCACTTTATTATCATACACCGAGGCATAACGAAGGCTAGAGGTGTGGTTGTTTAGCAGATTGGAGGAGAAAAGCCCTTTCCAAGCGGGCGGGTAGGATCGTCAAGCGGGAAGGTCTTCTCGCGATGCCTTAGCTCCAATCCTTGTGACTAACTTGTTCTGCCACGCATTGACGCAATCATGTCCTGAATGAACAGCAAGAAATAACTTGCTTCACAAAACTCCATAGTTGAGACCATCATCTTAACTATTTAAAATTATTCATCATCTGACCAGAATGACCTCCACAGCCATTGACCATGCCGGCAATTCAGCCCCACTTAATAATTTTTAGAAGGACTTGGGCTCGCCCTTCCAACTGTAACCTTTTTATTTTTATTTATTTATTTATTTGTTTTGGAAAAATGTGAGCGCCTTCCATCTCAAACTTGAAACCAAAAAAAAAAAAAATGCCCGCGTCCATTTCAACGAAGCCGGCCATGCCCGCACCGAGCTCCTCCGCTCATTTTAATCTCCACCGATCGGAACTATGCTTCCCACGCAAATATTTTCTCCTTCTCTGCATCCATGTTTTTCTCTCCGTTCTCACCCCTCATGCTCGTCCCCATCACCATCCTCCCAGTCTCCTTCCTTCTCTTCCTCGCCATAATCACCCGCCCCCGTCCTATCCGCATCCCCATCAAAGGCAGACACGTATTCATCACCGGTGGATCTAGCGGCATCGGCCTCGCCATTGCGCGCCTCGCTGCAGCCGAAGGCGCACGCGTCTCCATCCTCGCCCGCAACCGCCGCCGTCTCGACGAGGCTCGAGATTCCCTCCGCCTCTCTCGACGAGGCTCGAGATTCCATCCGCCTCGCTACAGGCGTGGAGGTTGGGATTTACAGTGTTGATGTGAGAGATGCCGAAGCGGTGGCTTCCGCGATCGAGGAGGCTGGACCAATCGACGTGTTGATTTGTAATCAGGGCGTGTTTACACCACAAGAGCTTGAGAAGCAGGAGATGGACGAGATTAAGTTTATGGTGGATGTGAATTTGATGGGCACCTTCCATCTTATTAAGGCTGCTCTCCCAGGCATGAAGCGGAGGACGAGAGAGACTGGCCTTCCTGCCTCTATTGGGATCATGTCCTCACAAGGTGGCCAGGTTTGAGTCTGTCCCCTCTTTGCTGATGGTGATTGATCACTGTCTTTTTTTCTGTCTTCCCCCAATTATTTTTCATGCTGGTAATTTTTTTCCTGAGCAATCTACTCCAACACATTCTGGTATTCAAGGAAATTTCTCTTTGACCTCAATTCTTCTAGATGTGCTCAACGAGACTTTTCAACCACAGCGTTATCTTTAATCCTTGAGGCCTTTCCTTTGGGAAAACTGTGAAAAATACTTGTCGGATTATGTCATCGCTAGCATCTGTTGACTTTCAGAGCTATACAGTTACAACAGCAAGAGCATCCCTGTTAACAGCTCATCCAAACAATCCAGCCGTCCAACTACAGCACACTGCATTTCCAGCTCAAGGAGGTCATTACCAGCTCTGCCAAGAATATTCCTTTTGTCTTCTACGTGCTTCTATCTTACTTTGCACTTTTTAGTGATCTTCTAGGCATGAATTAATATAAGATTCTGTTCTCTATTAGTTTAACTTCTTCTCCTTACTCTATCCACTACATATCTATCTTTACATGATATCAGAGTTATAAGCTCTCCAGCTCCTCTCCCAACCGTCATGGCTTCCAATCAAACAACATAGCAAGAAGATAGTGAGGGAACCTGCATCAATCATGGACAATACCTAGATTCAAACATAATTGAAATTCCTGATGTCCAACATAAAAAAATATTGTATCAACCCAGCTAACTACAATGAATCGCTTAACCTGGTGTTATTAAGTCCTGAAGCTCGTCAAGGCCAATGGGTATGAAGGCTTCCTAGAAGGCACTACAATTGAACCAGTCAACTATATATATAACTCAGAAGGCTCTATTACACCTAAGCCATAATATGCCACATGGGTGCTAAGAGACCAAAATCTCTCAAAAGCACTTTACTCCGTTATCTCCCCTTGTTTACCACCCTACATACTCAACCTCAATATCTACTCAGAAATATGGGCAACCATCCAAAACTGACTCCAATTCAGTAGTTACTCATGCATTCTACGGAATGATGAGCTTCATCATCTATCCAAGGGTAATAAAACAATGACACCATATGTAGCCGATGTCAAGATGAAAGTGGATGTCATAGCAGTCGCTGACACCCTTTTAGATCTAGAAGATATTATTCTATACACACCGGAATTCGCATTTTGTACATTGCATCCCGTAAGCTATAAAACTCTCTCAAATCTTTCATGTTACCAAATTATCTCATATTGTTATTTCCATTGCCAAATTAACTAATGACAATGAATGTTCTATCACCTTAAATTAGAATGGTTACCTCATCAAGTTTATGAATTCTTCAAATTCACTTCTCCCAGGCCCGGTGCATAATGGATTATACCCAACCAACTACAAATCTACAACCACTACTATCTTTATAGCTAAATGTCACGGACAAATAGTCCCACATTGGCTAGGTGTAGGGCCGAAAAGCAGTATTTAAGTCCTGGGCTGCCCACCACCCATAAGGGCTCTTTTGGGAGGTGACAAGTGGTATCAGAGCAGATTACTGCCTGCCAGATGTGTGGACTCTCCATGGTCCAGTGGGACCCTCGGTGGAGCTGATCCGTGATGAGGGTGTCACGTGATTGGGTGGAGGAGAATGTCAGAGACAAAAAGTCCCACATCGGCTAGGTGTAAGACCGAAAAACAATATTTAAGTCGTAGGCTGCCCCCCCCCCCCCAGAGCTCTTTTGAGAGGTGACAAGTGGTATCAGAGCAGATTACTGTCAACCAGGTGTGTGGACTCTCCATGGTCCAGTGGGACCCTCGGTGGAGCCGATCCGTGACGAGGGCGTCACGTGATTGGGTGGAGGAGAATGTCACGGACAAATAGTCCCACATTGGCTAGGTGTAGGGCCGAAAAGCAGTATTTAAGTCCTGGGCTGCCCACCACCCATAAGGGCTCTTTTGGGAGGTGACATAAAGCTCTCCTCACAACTCATTCCCTTGCTGCCAATTAGCACAACCTTTTGGGCCATCCTCATTACTCAACTATTTTACTTCTATCTAAATTACACCTGACACTATGTAGGGATGTAAACGAGCCGAGCTTGAGCGAGCCCAGGTTCGGCTCGTTAAAAAATACCGTTCTTTGTGTTCGACTTGTTAAAAATACCGTTATTCATGTTAGGTTCATTAATATATCGAGCTCAAAACATTTTTTCGTGTTCGGCTGATTTGTTTAACGAGTTGAACATGAGCTATTCCAGAACAACGAGCCATTTTGACATCTCTAGTCATACGGCTATAGGATGTCAAGGGTAGGGGTGAGATTTAACTCTTATTAATTATATTAATATATTCATTAAATAGAATTTAATATATTTTTATTCTATTTTTTAATTAATAATTTTAATTGATTATAAATCTTTTGTATCCTTGTAGTTAATTAATTATTTAGAAATAATAGTC